ATCAGATACCATCCATACGTGTGGTCACAGATTAGAGTGTATGGTCGTGTGGCTCCGATCCATCCGATCGGTAGTTACCTAGTCTTAGCTCCACCATACCAGGCCACAGTAGGCCGCCACACCTTGAATCGTGACCCTTGATGGCTAAATTCACGTGGACGTGCCCCAGGATTCTCTAATTTCTATCAATTTAGGCCCTAATTTGTGCTGTACTCAACAATTTGTCGTCTAATTTCAAGACCTTTAGATGTACCCAACATTGAATTGGATACTACAGACTAATGTCGAAATACTGAACATTTTACGGCCACTCAAATTTCAGTGCAACATTTATCCAAATTAAAACAAAGACTTCACAGTAGTGGGGTTGACATCTTGTTAATAATGTTGATAGTACGTGGTATGGACCAACCAATGAATAACACAAACGCATTCATCAAATCTATTTCAATTCCATCGTGTATCATGGAATATAAATATGGTGGCTATATAATGATGTCATACAAATTTTTTTTTGAATGGATATATATATTCAAAAAAAAAAAAAAAAAAAAACGTGTATAATGTAATATACATATGGTGATGACCGATGACTATCCAAGCTAAGCTAAGGGTCTGTTCTTATTGACTGAACTCAGCTGAAGTGAACTGAAATGAAGTGAACTGAACTGAATTTCAACGTAAATTAGGATGTCATACTTGTACTAAGTGTATGCCCTAATAGTGTAGCAACTTATTACATTTGTATCACATGGCATGTAACTCGTCACACTCTTCATGTTTCTTTATAATTATGAGTAGAGTTAATTGGTCATCATATTAGGTTGGGTGGGGTTTATTTGTGTTTGGAACTTTGGATTGATAATGAACGGGTTGTAGTCTTTAATCTAGGCTAGACTAAATCAACTACGTGTTATTTAATAAACGGGTTGAAAATTTTAACCTTAACCCTTAATTCATTTAATCCATTTTTTTATGGACTAGTAATTCTTACTCCGTATTACTATCGTTTATTACTACGAGAATACAAGCTGAGTATTACATTTGTACCAGTTATTTTTAATAAGTTAGCTACAGAGTACACAATTTCAAAAATTATAGATAATGATAATTTTTTCAAAATAATTATTATCTTAGGATACCCTTATTAATTATTATTTCTAAAAATTTTACCAAATTCACATGTTTCATTATCATATCTAGGGATATTTATTTGTCAATGAGTTAAACTAACAAGCCAAACATGCTAATTTTTGACATGAAGATATCAACCTTAGTCTAAACTATTCAATTAAATAGGTTAAATTGGTAAAAAAAAAAAAAATCTCACCCTAACTAGTTAAACTTGATTATATCAAATTTGGCTCGGATTTGCAATGCAAATTGGGTCAAATTCTCCCAACTAACCCTAATTATGAGCCTAGCTAAAATGGACATACAAAGTGCTTTCACAAATGTCGTACTAGTGGCTCGGACTTCATGCATATATATATATATATATATATATATATATATATATATATATATATATATATATATATATATATATATATATATATATATATATATATATATATATATATATATATATATATATATATATATATATATGCAGTGTCTTTTGAAAAATTGCTAAAATTTTAATATTGTATATAGTTAGTACTTATATTATTCTTTCTATTTGAAGATTAGTACTTATACATTCTTAAAGTCAAATATACATTTTTTTTTTAAAAAAAAAAACAATATACATGAGTTTATTTAATTAAAAATGGAGATATTAGTTAATGACCACTATTTGTGATCCATCTAGGTGTCTTTTGATTTTAATTAATATTAGGGCTGACTTCTAATTATCCTCCACCCAAAAGTCTAATAATTCAAACTAATATAATTTGTCAATGCAAACAACATTTAGAGTATGTATTTTTGTGAAATAATGCAGAGTAGTCATTTAGTACATTTTGAACCCACAAATTAATTACCTTTACGTAACAAATAATCCAATGTGTATTGAAATCAATTGTCATACTTTATATTAATTTATGTTCTATTGAGTATTAATAATCGATATTTATATTATTTTATATTTTATGTACTTGAAAATAAAGTTATGTTACATTCAACTATGGGTCTCTTCACATTTACTGAGCTGAGCTGAACTGAACTGATTGGAGCCGAATTGAACTGAACTGATGGGAGTTGAACTGAACTGAGTTGAAATGAATATTTTATGAGAGAGGAAAATTAGGAGCTTAACTGAACTGAAGTGAATTGAATTGAAATTAAGTAAATGTGAATAGAATATTAATAGTGAGCTTATACTCCATATAATGGATAAATGGATAATCTTCAAATTAATTAAAGAACAACACATTCTATCACAGCCAAAGCAAATTTGACATTCAACAAATTAAGATTATTTGCTAATCAAAAACAAGATTTTTGGTTTCTTTTGGTGTTTAATTAGAGAGAGCCACAAGGGTAAGTGATGAGAATTGATCCCATAATCTCCTAAAATCAGAAAGAATAATGCTCTAATCACTTGAGCTATCCCTCGTTCTCACCACAAACTAAAAAATTAACTGACATAAAATCATGGTCATGACATAAGCATATAGGTCAAAAAACTAATAACTTTAAAGTTTAAATCAAATCTTTAATCAATTAAACAAGAGATTACGAAATAGAAAATGGACAGATTAAGCCCCACAAACCCGCTAAAAAGTAAAGATCAGTTTCCAAAACGAATTAATTAACCCCTTTTTCCTAAAGAATATTCTACAAATTCTTAATTAATTAATTTACTTAAAGCAGAAGATTAAACAAAACATTTGTCATTGTTATCGGCCGACTAAAATCTATAAACAATAGAGTTAAAAATTACAAAAATATTGTCAAATTATTCACTAAGTCATCGTTGCGGCGGACCAAAAGCCTAACAATTTGGCATCACATGTTGGAAAAATTAAAAAACCCACATGTTATTCATGTTATATAATATGATTGTAATGACAATTACTCAACCCCACTTTATATTACCTGTCATTAGCGATGTTCGATAGTTGTATTTTTGTACCTAAAATACTAAAAACCAAGTTGCAAAACCAAACCACAAAACAACTTGCCAAGTAACTTTATAAATTATCAAATTGACTATGACTAGTAGAGTGCATTATTTCATCTATCACTTTCACATTCGCGTGTATTTTTCTGTAGTAAATAGACAAGTACTACCGTTAAGCGAATTGAAAAATCAGTCATTGAGATAGCATGCGATTGGTCCATATTACAGGAGAGTCTAACTACGTATATATAAAGTATAGATATAATTTAATTAGGTTTTGTTTTAAAATTAATTGGTAATATGTGATGTAATATGTACTATATAAGTACATAACTACGTGTATGTTGAACGCCCCTATTTTTTCAAGTGAGAAAAAAAAAATATGAATCAACTCACATGTGAATTATTCTCTTTTAAAAAAATCTTTTATACTTTGTCAGTATTAGGCAAACTGATGCTCTAAAACGTTATTAATTACTATAAGATGCTAAAATAAAGTTCTATAGCTAAGATGCTAAAATTTAAAAAGTAAGCATCATCTAAGCAGCATTAACTACTAATCTACTATTTATTGATGTGTGATTCCAACATGTATGTCTAAATTGATTATGATGTTTTAAGGTCATATTTAATATTTATGCTTCATCAGTTTATCCTAGCTTGGAGCTACGTAGGTATGTACAGATGTACTCCATCTTGATTAAAAGTTGAGATAGATTAGGTCATGTTCTCTATAGTTGTGGCAAATTCAATAGTATGGAGTATTTTACATTTTCTCTCTTTACAATCTTTTTTGAAAATTAATAATACAATATTATAATAAAACTGAAATTGTAGTTGATGTGGGTACTTAAAATAAAAATAAAAGTTATGCGGATTAATTTCCTAGAAAATGTTCAATTTAAAACTTTGTAAGAAAAATGAAATAAAATACTACCAATATTTTTCTTTTCATGCTTGTTGATATATTAATTTTTATTAGAAAGTCGATGCATTATTTCAATAGTTAATCTTTAATTATCAATATGTAAAAATATAAACATATATGATATTAAAATAGAATAAATCCAGACGAATCTAATAAGATTCCACATGACTATATTTTTTCTAAGTTAAAAATCCTTAAAGCTAGAGGTGATAATGAGCCGAGCCTATTCGTGAACAATTTGAGCTTGGCTAGTCAGCTCGGTCAAAATTTAGTCAAAGCTCAATTCGTGGTGCCTCGGCTCGGGTTTGAATTTAGCTTGAGACCTTAAAGAGCCAAGATGAGTTATGCCAAGCTCAGCTTGAAAAGTTCGTAAACAAGCTCTTTAATGTATATAAAATAAATATATTTATAATATATATTACACAATAAAAAAAATAAGTTAGTATTTTCATAAAAAAAAAAATTAAACTCTTCGCAAAATTAAATTTTAATAATGAACAATAAAGAAGACACGTAAACTAAGGATAATAATAAGTCAAGTTTGTTCGTGAACAGTTTGAGTTGGCTGATCAACGTTTGTTCAAAGCTTGGCTCGGAAAAGCTTGATTCATTAGGGTTTGAGCTCGACTCAAATTTGAACAAACTTAAACAAACACAAGTTGAGCTGATCATAGTTCGCGCTCGGCTCACCTGATTAGCGCTCTTACTCAAAGCCATTTAAAATGGAAAATAAAATAATATAAACGTTAAACTATTGTAGTATATAAAAAAAAAGTAAGTAAAAAAAGTTGCGAATAATATCAAAGTGAAACATCCAAAACAGAAGAAGTGCATAAAACTTTTTTTTATTAGAAAGTAAGATCATATTCACTTCACCTTAAAATAATTTCAATTCAGTAAAAATAATTTCAATTCAGTAAAAATAAGTTCACTTCAATAAATATAAGTTTAGTTTAGTAAAAATAAGCCCAATTTAGTAAAAATTGGTAGTTTTAAAGAAGAAATATAATGGAAAATCAGTAAAAAAAAATTAATAAAAAGATTTTAAATTCAGCTAAAATAATATCAGTTCAATACAAAAAAAATTAATTCAGCCAAAATAAGGTGAAATAAATCGGATCTAATACTCAAATATCGAAACGGGCCCGATTGGGCTAATACATACTGGGGAAATTTGTGTTCTTTCCAATTGTAGGCTTGTAGCATTTGCGGAAGGGAAACACATTACACACGTATTGATGAATTATTAATTTTTAAAAATAAATTAGTCGTTGTAGAAATAATTATCAAATAACTCCAAAATAACCCCACATTATAAAATGCTACCTTCACCTCAAATCCTCACTCATTCTCTCTCTTCAAACCATTTTTCCTCAACGAACTTTATTATTTCCTTATTATTATAACCTCTTATCATATATCCTTTCTTTCTTCAATGGAGTTCTCTACTTTTCCCTCATTTTTCTTCTTAATTTCCTCCATTTTTATTTTCCTTCTTTTTTCTTATTACATTATCTCCAAAAAATACATCAACCCTTGGTGTAAATGTGAGATTTGTCAATCTTTCGTAACTTCGAGTTGGAGGGAAAAATTCACAAATCTTCCAGATTGGTATGCACATCTCTTACAAAACTCTCCCACAAAAACGATCCATATTCATATCCTAAACAACACTATTATCGCTGACCCGAAGAATGTGGAGCACATTCTTCGGGCCAAGTTCGATAACTACCCCAAGGGTAAGCCGATGTCGGCTATCCTTGGGGACTTGCTAGGAAAGGGGATATTTATAGTTGATGGAGAACACTGGAAGTTCCAACGAAAGATCGCCAGCCTCGAGCTAGGCTCGGTCTCGGTCCGAGCCTACGCTCATGAGGTCCTCAATAACGTCATCGAGGACCGCCTTTTTCCCGCCTTATTGGGTTCACCAGTGGTAGACTTGCAAGACGTATTAAAGAAATTTTCATTCGTTAATATTTGTAAGTTTTCGTTCGGGGTTGACCCGGCGGGCCTGGACGGGCTTGCGGAGGCTTTTGATGTTGCTTCTATGATATCTTCGGAGCGGGCCCTTTGCCGGACCTCGCTCATTTGGCGGGCCAAGCGGGTGTTGAACATCGGGTCGGAGAGGAAGCTTAAGGGCGCGATTTCGAAAGTCAATTATCTAGCTGAGAGTATCATAAGGGAGAGGAGGAAAAAGGAGTTCAACAACAAAAGTGACTTGTTATCAAGGTTTATGGGGAGTGTTTCGGATGATAAGTATTTAAGGGACATTGTGGTTAGTTTTCTCCTAGCGGGCCGGGACACGGTGGCTTCGGGCCTTACGGTATTTTTCTACCTTATGGCCCGAAACCCAAGTGCCGAAGCCCGGATACTCGAGGAGAGTAACCGGGTTTTAGGTCGACGGTCGTCGTCTAGCCTCACCATTCCTTCCATGGAGGAACTAAGGAAAATGCATTATCTCCAAGGGGCGGTATATGAGACATTGAGATTGTACCCACCGGTCCAAATGGACTCCAAGTTTGCTAAAAACGACGACGTTTTGCCCGATGGGACTTACGTCAAGAAGGGTACCCGGGTGGCATACCACCCGTATGCAATGGGTCGTATGGAGACAATATGGGGACCGGATTGTTTAGAGTTCAAGCCTGAAAGATGGTTAAACAACGAAGGGGTTTTCGTGCCAGAAAATCCATATAGGTACCCGGTATTTCAAGCCGGGGTTAGGCCTTGTTTGGGAAAGGATATGGGGTTATTGGCTATGAAGGTAGTAGCCCTTGCTGTTGTGAGACAGTTTCATATAAAACTGGCTAATCCGAGTTGGGCCCCACAATTCGTCCCTGGTCTTACAGCCACCCTAAAAGGTGGCATGCCGGTAGTCGTGACGGAACGCTTAGTTTAAGGAGACAAATTAATGATTGATACTAAATTATTACGAACGAATCACTGCCATGAACGAAGGAGATCTTGAAGACATCGATCATTGCGTGGCGAGTTATAATTAATTGCACAGCACATGCAAGTAATTAGTGTAAGTTAAACAAAGGTAAGTGCTTAGGTAACACATAATATACAAACTAGTATTATTTGAACAAGCATATATCTATATATATATATATATATATATATATATATATATATATATATATATATATATATATGCATGTTTTAAGGTACGGAGATCCAATTCTTTCAATGATGTAGTAGTGTTTAGTGTATTGTATATCAGGAGAAAAATGGTAGAGATATTAGTACGTAGTACTACAATACAAGTACATAAAATCAGTTGTAATAAGTTTATACTTCGTATATATAAGTGGGAAGAAGATGAACATGCAGTTTATTATTGATAAATTAAAAATGATATCTTTAAGGAGTTATTTTTCTTTTTGAATTGTTTTTGCATAACTAGTACAATTAACCCTAATGCAAGTTACGTTAGATACTCATTCTATTGTAAAAATTAAAGAATTTTAAATCTCAATTGACTACAAAGGTTATTATCTAACTTTGGAAAGGTTTGATCATGTTTGTATATATATGTACTTAATTATCATTGTTTTGAAGTTTGTTGAGACTTTGAGTAGTTTAAAGTCAAGATTATAATTTTGGGATTAGTGTTAAGGTTGTTTTTTAACCTTAATTGCAATATATATGTTTTTTTTTTTTTTTTTTTTTTTTTTTTTTTTTGCTATATATCTTGTTTTGGACTAAAAAGACAAATACTGGTATTATTTATTCTCTGCAAATTTTGAGCAGAATGAGTTTAGACTATAACTTTGGAATCTGTGTTATAATTGTTTTTTCTTCTCTTATCTGGTTCTATAGTTTATTATATATATATAAAAAAAAAAATCTAATCTGGGGTCTGATCCACACATATTTACAGATTTTGTCTGGTCATAACCATGATCCTTTATAATATATATAAATATTAAAAGGCAGACATTGCATATAACACATTTGAATATTTAATCATCTTACTGTGTGATACAATTAATTAATTAATTAATACTTAACTTCAGTACTTCGTATTTGATTTGAATTCAAAATCATCTATTCAGCGTACGCGTTTTAATTAATTAAGTCAATCCCAAAATCCATACTAGAAACTTTGCCTATTAATCTATTTTATTTTATTTTATTTTATTTTTACTTTTTTTAAACGATAATATACGGGGATGCCCTTCCAATCACAGGAGGGGTTAATGTACTACTTTATCCTTCCCTTAAAGCTATCATTTTTGTTCAATAATAATAATAATAATAAATTTAAAAAAAAATAAACAATAATGCTAGACTTCATTCAAATAACATTATATACTAATCTCCAAAAAGAATGTATTTTTTATTCAAAATTTTTATTTTGAGTAGATGTGAAATAACTAGCCTCCTTCAATTAATTAATTACTTATTATACCTAATCAATATAATTAGTTACAATAACTAATTAATTAATTAGTTATAATAACTGATTAATTAATCAGTTTATGAAAACTAATTAATTAAAGCTTCTCTACTTTGCTAGCTAGCTTATGGACCCAATAGTACAGACGAACTTGTAGTAGGACCACCGTGACACGTTAAACACGAATTGCGCTAATCTTAATAATCGAACTGTTCGTTTGTTCCATTTTCTGTTTAATCACTATTTTAGCCGTTAATTATCACTATTACAATTACATTACACACTGCTTATAGTATACACCATCTAAATTAAAGGTAGCTAATACAGTATTACCCTAAAGAGCTCCGCATATTAAGCCGTTAAAAGTACCGTAAAATAATTAAAGATTAACCACGGGCGGTCGCCGCCCCATGTTTAATTAAATAATTAAGACGAGTGTTTATTTCTAATCATCTCTTTTCTCTGTTGTCTCTAATTTATCGAACTTGTAATTAATTCTACATTTTTAATCATATATCTACTATACAGATTGATTATAAATTAAATGATCATCAGATTAATTATGTGATTGTTTACAACATTTCAGGATCAATAATTCAATATGATTTCTTCTTGGACGGTGCGTGGGCTGGGGTATATGCAGGGGCGGACCCACGTGTAGTCATAGTGTGTCACAGGACAACCTATTATTTTATAAAAAAATTAAACACTAAATGTCAAGAAGTTCAGCTTGCAGCCTAGTGGTTTTTTTACCACCCATCACACGCGAGATGTGGGTTCAAACCCCATTACTGACATTTTTTTTCTTTTTTTTGCTTTATAACCTCACACCCAATTTTCAACATTTAGAAATTAAAACTTGGGATTCAGAACATTTCCCCCAAATTGTAAAACCCTAAGTCTCTAACTCCCCTAAATCGAAATCCCCAGACCCCACCCGCAGACCCGTAGCCCCGCCACCGTTCACCGGCCAGTTTAAGCTCCGTACTCCGTCACTCCATTTTCTCACCGTCGCCAATATATGGTTCGTCCGTCAATGTCAATCTGTGGCTCATACTTTGTGGAAAATCAATACTTTGATGTATGTTGCTCAATTACAATCCATTGTCGCTTCTGCTGCTCACAAATTTCCCGATCTTCTTCTCTGTTTTGATCTTCTCTCCGATCTCATTTTCGCCATTAATGACGAACCTAAGGTTCCATTTCTTAATTTTTTTCTCCTTTTTTATCTTTTTTCTACTTGATTAGATCTATGTTGCTGCTAATTGTTCAAAATCATGGAATTTCAGCATGTTTAAGTTTGTATTGCAATCAATTTAATTATTTTTAGGTTGTTTAAGTTGAATTTTGAGAATTCTAGTTGCAAATTATACTGGCATTTGGATTGTTTTAGAGAATTATTAAGTTTTGATTGGGAATTCTTGCTTAAACTATGAATGGGCTTGATATGGATTGAATTAGGAACCTATTATTTATTTATGTTATGGCAAAGAAAATGTGAAGATGCATTGTTTTCGCTGCTGGTTTTGGGTGGGCGGAGGCCGGTGCGGCACTTGACATAGTTAGCTATGGTTAAAATTATCTGGAAAGGAGATCCTAGTTCGATATACTCAAGGGCTAGTGCTCTTCAAGGGTTTCTTGCTGACCATTCACATGCAGGAGGGTGGTTTTGGTGGTGGTGTAGGAGGAGGGGGTGGTTGTTGGGGCTGGGCTGGGAAGTGGCTGTTGGGCTGGGTGGGGAATTGTTTAATTAATTTTTTTTAGAAAAAAATAGACCATTCACATGCAGACACGTGTCAAGTAACCTGCTTTTTTTATGTATTTTTTTTGCTAATCATACAAGCTTTGACTATTTTTTAATATTATATACGGTCAATAGACGATGATGGGACAACCTATTACTCAAATCCTGGATCCGCCACTGGGTATATGTGTAAGGCGTTCATAAATATATGCTACGTAGTACAAGTACCATAGTTGTATTATTATATATTGTTAGATTTTTTTTTTTTTTTTTTTTTTATTTTTTTTCCCCTGGTGCTGGTGCAAATAATTTAAATTTTGTATAATGTAAGTCAACGAATCAAAAGTGGTAGATTTTGATGTAAATATTGTACAATATAATTAAACATTTTTTTTATTGCAATATTGAAAGAATGGCATAAGTTTTTTTTTTTTTTTGAACAAAATCAATTTATTACTTGTAATAAAAAGTCATACGACATTTACAAATAAAATCTAAATTAACAAATACATACGTGTTATGTCAGATAAAAAAAAGTGTTATGTTATGTTAATTTAATCACTACTCCATAGTGTATAGTATTTTTAATAATGTAAAAGATTCTATTATGTTGTATTTATTTTTATATTAGGGTTGACTTGACACTTCCGTATTATTTTATTTAATGTCTATTTATTTAGTCTAATATTTTTTTGAAGTGTGTGTCAACATACTATGTTAGTTGTAAGTAAAAAAGAAAAAGATAAAGTATATACAAAAATATAATGCAGGACTTCCATCAATAATTACATTAATTTAAGCTTTTACTATGGCAAAAATTCAAGATTAAATGACATATAATAAGTTAGTCATAATAGTTTAAATCACCTGCCTCATTCCAAAAAAAAGTGAAAATGCGATATAAGAAATGTGTCAACATAATATGTTATAGCTAGTAGTCACTTTTCAAAAGACTATTGTAAAATTTTCACTAAAAATAATGATTACTTTGTACCGTATTATATATATATATATAATAAAATGTTAAAAATATAAAATATTGAATTAAAATATGAGTCTTAGGCCCTGTTCTTTTAAGCTTCTGGGCAGAGCAGAGCAAAGCAGATTTCAGCAGAGCAGAGCAGATTGAAGTAGAGCAGGGCAGAGCAGAGCAGGGCAGGGCAGAGCAAAGCAGATTGAAGCAGCTATTTTTAAGTACTATTTTTAAGCAGAGCAGGGCAGAGCAGAGCAGATTGAAGCAGAGCATATTTGAGCAGAGTAGAGCAGATTTCAGCAGAGCAGAGCAAAGCAAAGCAGCTCTAAAGAACGGGGCCTTATGCATTTATGCAAATGAGCAAAGCCAATATGATCAATCGAATTAAATAATATAAGCAGCATTGATAGATCTATTCATTGGTGTGAATGATCAAACAAAGCAACCAACATTTTCTTGCTAGATAGTAGATAGACAATGATGAAGATACACTGGGGTGTAAGGTGATCCTTGTTCGGTAAAGATGTTGGGTGGCTTTATTACCTGTTCCTTTCACTTATCCATGTTTTGCGATAGTAATATTGTCTTGCACGGAAGAGGAGGAAGATTGTCTAATTTGTCATTATATCAGATTTACTGCTATCACTTGCCTTTAGTCAATTTTCTTCCCTTTTTTGTTGGTTGATGAAATGTTGCTTTTTAAACTTTTATTACTTAAATTATACTATGGTGCAACAACAATATTCATTTTCACATTAAAATAACCAGAAATAAAAAAAATGCAACCTATATTTTCTGTCCGCCACTAAACACGTTTACACAAACGTGACAAACCTTGATCAAAGTACCAAATAAATCCAATTGGCTTGATTAAATAATTGACTACTAGTTAATTGGAAATAAGGACCACTACTTAATTTTTTTTTATTAGTATATATATGTAAGAACAAAATTGTGATAAGTAAGGACCACTAAATATTGTTTTTAACCCT